GACATGGTGATTCAACATAATCTTGGACACATATGCAGCAATTTTGATGAAACAGGTCAATTTATTATAATCAAACTACAAAATACATTTTAGATTAAATTAAATACAAATAATTGCATAATGACCTATTCAAACAAAATAAGCACTGCAAAGAACTAAAAACATCGTAGGTTAAAGAAACCTTTATTTTATAGCAACATCAACAGAGAACTAAGGATCTCAGGAATTCAACATAGGTTCCTGTTATGACAAAATTATATTCTGTGCTATTATCCACCATTGAACTTATACTGAAACTCACGTAGTCAGTGGAAAAACACTGAAACGACCAACCAGACCTTATGTGATTGCCATTGATGGAAGATGCTGCTCATTATCTGTTCCCCAGTTCATGTAAGACCTTGACAATTGAAAGAGGCCAAATAATCTCACAGGTGGCAATAGTTCTGAGTGCAACTGGCTTCCACTCATATTCTTGTACGCACACACAAATATATCCAGCTCACTATAAATGTAACTTGTACTCGCTTGCAACTTTCACTCTCGAACAGACAAGCATTTGGGAGCAATGGGTTGCTCTCTGTAAGACCTGTGCCTTGGAGCTTCATTAAAGCTTCATTAACAACTTTCAATTAAACTCTCAATAAAACCCTTTTGAAACGAATGAATGCTGTTCATTTTCTGTTTTTTCTTTATACAAGGTGACTGGTGACATGATTGCCCAAACACTCCTACTGCGGGCAAAGTATTGACAATAATAAAGTCAAACAGCAAATCTCACAGTGCCCATCATAGGGTGTGCAGACAGGTAACTATGGAGATACCTCAAGACATGGTCCTGCTCAGCTGCTCGCTAGGTTATCTCCCAGAGAGGAAGCCAAGCAAGTGGCAACGGAGCACTACAGCACCAGACGAGAAGTGACCACTGTACAAACATCACAGCAGTGATTTACAAAGGAGACAAAATCAGAATTTCTAAAAACAAATAATGGCAACTATATGTTCTGTGACATCCACACGGATGTTGGAAGGATGGTGTTGTTGTCGGCCATTGCTTGTGCATAGCTCTCAGAATTGTCCACAGCTCTTGGAATTGTGCATAGCTACGTGGTAACAACATTTCGAATTAGTCTGCATTTATAGGTAGCTGTAAATAGAGAATTTCAAATTTAAACTGCTTCTTATTTTTCATTGTGTTGCTGAAATTATTATTTGGGAGCAAACAACTAAAAAATATGGAATCCCCTGCCAACTTGAAACATATATTTGAGGGTGACTAAACTTAAATCTGCTGAAACATTATAACGTAATATAACAATGGAAGTGCAAGAATTTTATGGCAGGAACTAAATGATTTGTATTCTTCATTTGTCTCAAATACAGTGGGTTGCCAAACATAAGTCTCCATGAACTACAGCCATTTGTAGCCAGATAATGTAAATAAAAAACATCTAAAGTCATGATTTTCATAACTGTGGCAAAATGTGTAACAGTGTGATGATTATGTTGAATTAATGTTAATGTTGAATTATCAAATGAATCATACAGTGCTGATGATGCATCAGTTTTATAACCATAATGCAAGACTGATTATTCACAAATGATCAGTCTATATATCATTTAGGGCAGCAGAACTACATGTGCTGTCAAAAAGCATATCTCATTATTACCACAATCACTTGCACATACTGCTTATAAATGCATGCAGGCTTTATTTCACATAACTGCAATTAGAGCTGTGTACCTCCTCCACCTATGTACTGCAGAAAAGTAGATACCTTTAAAGCAGCAAAACTCAGACCAGAACCCAGAAGTTTGTGTCCTAAAATATTACCTTTAGTCTTTAGAACTAAAGGAAAATATAATTTAAAAAAATTAACAATTTAGCAAATTTAATGCACTGCTTGATGGAGAGAAAAAAGAAAAAAAAAAGACTACTGGAATATAAATTACAACAATCTCAACAACAGTACAGTTTCTTAAGATATCAATTTAAAGGAGACAACTATAGTGTGATTGGTTTTGTGTAATGTGTTGATGCTCGACAGCTAAGAGTTCAGGTTTCAAAATAATGCATTTAAAATAACAATGTTTCAAGTCGCGTTTTAAGGGCATTCATACTTTAAGTAAACTGATTATAAGTGGGACAAAAAAAAATTGATTAAGATCACTGTCAAAACCTGATAATTTCAATTGCTGGAGACCAATTGCTCTTAAACTATTTGGAAACAAAATGTATCAGTAATTATGGCTTCTCACCTCCATCCCTGTCTCTGACTCGATGTGTGTGGACAGCCTTTGCTCTGCTGTGCCCCATGCTGTCAACATGTTTGTTTTCGGGGCTGTCAGACCTCCGAAGTATTTTGCAGGGAGGAGTGACATCTGAAGAGTCTCGCATCTTTTCATGTCGGTGGTCCCCTCCTGGATGGCTCTTGGATGAGTATTTGAGAGTCTGCTGATAGACATACACCAAAACAAAACCTCACCATCATCTAATTTGTCATTGTCAGTCATTTTATTATCAACAGTAAACCATGCCAACTGAACTCAACTTTACCTAAGTAAAATACTTGTTGATACAGACGTACTAAGTAATTATATATATATAAATATATATATATATATATGTAAGAATATAGATCAGTCTCCAAAGAACATATGATCACCTAGGTACCGCTAATAACTAATATACAACTATTTTTCAGTTCGGGTAAAAACAACATCTCATTTGTTAGTGGTGTTGTTACGTTGTTTTAACAAACAACCGATTGATGTATTCGATATGCTTTTACGGACGAAAGGGAATTGGGTAAAATTATATTCTGCACTTATGCATATGAGACAAATGTTGTTGTTCAACAACTGCATTTTAAATTATGCTATTAGTAAAGGTATTGTAAAGCTTTGAGTTTTATACAATCCTTGGCTTCCTAAATCCCTAAAATGACAGACTGCGGTCGGGCCCTGAACGGACTGGCTACTTGGTAGCTAACAGTAACAGGCTAATGTTAGCCCTGAGCTGCAATAAAACTTGCTACTCCCCCTAACACAACCAGTGAATTCGACGTTTGCGGTCGCGGAAAATTGGCTTTAGCTTATAATGTTTAAATTAAGACAAGTTTATGGTGGTTATGGGTCACATTTAGCCGAAACCGTTTACTTTCTTCCATATTTTCCGCACTGACTGCGGCCTGTTGTGCTCTGCTGAAGCCTGAACTAGAGTGTCCATTTTAATCTCATTTGCTGCTAGGAGGCTACGGTTAGCTAACAACTACCTGATAGGGCTGAGAATCTCTTCGGTCGCACCTGCAGATAAAATAAAGAAAATAACAATTAATATAAGTTTACATAGTAATAGTTAACAACACAAATTCACGTCTACAACAGTTATAACACAACTTTATAGACACTTATTATGGTTTCAGTAAAAAAAATGGCGGATTGTCAAAGCATAGCTACGAGGAAAAGGAAAATCTAAACAAGTAACGTGAAGAAAAGAGGTTTACCCATCGCCGAGTCTCGGTTGTTTCCTTGCATACATTACCATCAATGCCGTGTTAGTGTGTTTGAAGTGGGATGTGAAACACTTGTAACAGTAATGTTATTTTCTTGTTGGTTCTACGACTTAGAATCGTCAATTATTTCTACCTAGCTTGTGGGTATTTCAATGCTATCAGCAGCTCTGGTCGGAAGAGAGCCCTCCCTCAGTCCCTCCTCACTCAGTCCATCTCCCACTCAGACACACACGCAGCGTCTCCCAACTGCCTAGAAAACGTAGCTGTTAGAGCTGCGCGTAGGGTTGCCAGAGCTAAAGAGCTTCAGCTATAAAACCCGTCAGAAAATTACACAAGTCTCAGCATGGACATATACACTATATTAAAAAAAATAGCCATAACTAGCTCATACGCAAGTACCATTATTATATTTAACCGTATTTCAGTATGTGTTTTTATTCTAAAATAAATGGCAAATAATCTTATCAGTAACGTCACAGGCAAATAAAGACATACATGTCGTATCCAGGTCTTTAATTGTCAGTTGGGCATTCATTTTTTAAATTTACAATTAGTCATCAAACCCTGTATTTAGGAAAACATTCTAATTGGTTTGAAACGTCAGAAATATTAACAAATCTGGCAACCTCGACTGCAGCCCCCTCCCCCTACTGATGATAACATCCGGTATATGCTGCTTGGAGTCTCGAAAACTTGTAAAAGGCAATGCTTTTTGTAAAGTGTCCTTTTATGTCAAATTACAAATTTTAACTCGCACATTATATATATAACGCGCATATTAATATATATTTCACTATTTATTTTAATCCAGTAATTCTGTAGAACTCCTTACTCACGTCACCCGACTGGAGTTCATGATATGTTCTTTTCTGCCATCTAGTGTTTATATTGGAACGGTACTGGCCACTCTTCTTTTCCTTATGGCTTGTCCCTTTTTCTCTTAAAGATGAGAAAAAACGTATTTACTGGATTAGACTCTGGTTACAAATGCCCAACAGTGTTAGTATATATTTAGGTTATGGGATATAAAACACAGGTTGAACCTTGTTTAATTACACGTGAAAAATATGTCACTTAACCTTCACTACTTATAATAATAATGTCTAGCTTTTATCTGTATGTTAAAGAGATTGTATATAAATACACTAAGATTACACGTCTAACACACTTTTAATAATACATAAAATATATTTTGTTAGGTATTTCAGGACTAATTGATATTGATATTAATGTGATATACTCATATAAAAGGAACAAATAGTGAATTTAAATCATTCCTTTTGAATATTGTAGGTCATGAAAGGTTCAGGGTCAGAATGTTTTACAAAGGGCTGCAAAGTTTCATTGTCCTGGGACCATAAGGCCCACACAATAACAAGGCGGAGGACAAAAGAGGCTGCAGTTCAGCGTGTTCACAGAGCAAAAATGTATTTGAGAGACGTGAGGACATTAAAGGGTGCTTCTTATGTTGTTGTTGTATCTCGGTGACACAGACACGGTATTTTTGACCACATATGCTCAGTCTTGTCTTTCTGTCAGAGTAAGTGGATGCAAAACATACCACAATAAGCCTTTGATAGGATTTTATACATTGGCCACTTGAACATATTGAACATTTATGTACTGTTTTATAACCGTCGAACATCTTTTAAAGTCTTAAGAGTTAACTGCCCACTTGTTGATAAATATTTTGTTTCTTAACATGTCCCATAGGGGGCGCAATAAAATAGCTCCCAATGTGTAAAACACATACATATTCACAGAATGCATATACATACGAACATTCATTGCATAACAACAACAACAACAACAACAACGACAACAACAATGATAATAATGACAATAATAATGTCATTATATATTTTACTACTATTTTTGGTATTGTAATTTAACTAACCAAATTAATAATACTGACTCCATCTGCTATAATCAAACACAAATGCAAATACGAATGCCGTTGTCAGAGAAACGTAGTTTCTGTGTAAGTTTTGTCTTGCGGTGGGGAAAATGTTTTTTAAGGGGAGGGGTTTTGCAAAGATTGACAAGATTATAAACCTATGAGTGTTCAGCTCTCGTTGGCTGTCCCCCTTAACAGAATACTGACCAATAAAAGAAGAGATTAGATGCATAGTTGGCGAAGCATGTCCGGGGTGCTGATCTGAGAACAGCACAGTGTTTTCACTTGCGCTTAGAATTACTTACAGACTAATGCAATAAACTGTTTCCCAGTCAGTGTGTTGATATACCGCTTTATTTATCCCGTTGCAAAGCCAAGGCGTAACATTTTGAAAGGTTGTGTGCGGCAGATAATGCACACAGAGGTCCGGGATGCGTTGTGGTTGTTTAAAGAGGGAAACAGACCACGTTTATAACCGTAATATTTGCATTATATAAAAGTTGTGTTTTCGAGGAATCCAGTGGAATATACAGTGACAAAGAGGAAGCCATTCAACTTCAACCTCCGATGCAAAGTGAGTACGAACGCGTTGTATAAGCCAAATATCTCCCGAGCGTTAGTCGGTGTTCCTGGTTTCTTGCTTGTTAACAATTGCAGGACTTAGCCATGTGTTTTATTTTATATGCCAGTTTTAAACTAATTTATAACTCTGCACAATCAAATTTGCAACCTACTTGACAGCGCAAATAGTTCTAATGAAATTGCACAGGTGCTGTCTTGTCTTGAGGAATGTTTTGGTGTAATAGTGAAAGCTGTTAGTAAACAAAACTGGTTTAATGTTTTTGTTATGACTATGGGAAGGTCCGCGTGTTGTTGTTGGCAGTATCCTGAACAAAGGTCTGATCACAGTGGCAGAAAAAAAAAAAAAAAAAAAAAAAAAACTCTCAGTGACAAAATTTCCTTGTGACACAATTGTGAACTTCCACAAAACACCCACACCCTGAAACACGACAGCGCCTTCTCTCCAGGAAGTGCCGTGTGCCTGTATGTGTCCCGAGGGAAGGTAGAGGCGAGACAAGGATATACGGTGACATTATTTAATGTGGACAAGGGAATAGAGAAAAATTAATTAGTCCTGTGCGTTAACCTTAATAATAATATTATTCTATTATAATAATAATTGTATTATGTCCCTCAACCTCAACAATAATAAATAAAACATAAAACTGATCATGAATACATGAATAATGTACTGTCTGCATCAATGTGTTGTTGGCGTCTGTGTCATAAATATGATCAATTTTAACTTCTCATTAGGACAATCACTCATGCAATGATTATGCTGAGGTTGCAGGCAATATATAAAAAATGTCAATAAAGAGGAATTGCAATGTCAAAAAAGTAATGCTTTGTCACCACAGAGCAATACTGTAATACAGTGTATTACTAAGGTAATATACTGGAGTCACTGGATGCCCATGGCAATAGAGTCAGTATACAGAGCTGTAAGGGGATTTGACAATACTCAGGGTGACAAGAAGGAATTATGCACATTCGAGAAATATAGTAGAAATACAATTAGAAAAATAGGTGTAACTAATTCAAAGGGCCATGGTTTAAGAATATAAATATTAGATACTCTGTGTCGGAGGTGAAGCAGCCAGACAGGAGTGAAAAATGAAGTCGGAAATCAAGGTGTCGCAAGAGACGAAGCGAAATGTAGGATAAGATGAAGTTTTTGCTTCTTCAAAGAGAGCAGGCATATGAAGAAGATACTGGGCGTGCACAGTGATAGCACAAGAAAGCAGGCTGCATATACAGTATGACCTAGACAGATGGAATCCAGTGCCTTGCCTTGAATTCCTTTGTGATGGCTTTTAAGT